AAATTGACCCACACATATTTCCCAAATATGTATTTATAGATGTCATACAATCCTTGACATAGACTGTTTTTTGAAATTTGCTAATGTGACAGATAAATGCTTAAAGACGCCAGCTAAATGAACCGTGCACAAATTAATTAATTTAAATGTAAATGTAATGTTTACCGCTCACTGTCCGCTACTACTTGATATGCTTGGCTACCACAGTGACGTAAAAGTTGCCGCGCACATGATGCAAACTGGTGTGAAATCGTTAGGATTAATAAACAGTCAGTAATTCCCGTCTGCTGCAGTGATGCTGTTGCTCGTTAGTAAAAAAAAAAAAAACGTACAATTGAGGGATATTGTCTGACACTGGCACACAGTTTGTGATAACCTTTGGTGTTCCATCGACTATTATGCTTGGCACATTATGCCCTTTATAAAGGGTCTATAGACAGCAGACTGACAATATACTGTACAAAAATATAGAAATAAGAATACTGACCCGGCTAAATGTAACTGAACATTAATTTATAAATGAATTAACAATAATGTATTCCCTTTAGTTTTATTAATAGACATACGGAGTGTGTATCCTGGTTATTTAATTTAGCAAAAATCTTTAATTTGCCTGATTCAAAGTTGTGGTCATTTTGTCAATACAATTAGTACATTATGTCATCTCTGGTGAAATGTGATTAGAAGCTAAAATGATTCAACAGTCAGTAATGCCCCTGCATTACATCCAGACATTAAACACATTAAAATATAGCCTATATGCAGCAACGCACGCGGTTGATAACATTAAACATCTACAGGAGCATGACTTCGTTCAAATGTTATGACTTTTACAATAAACGAGGGTAATAATCCCACTGTACTGCCCTTCCTTGAAGTGACCCATGCATATTATTTTAGGACGCAACCGTTCACACTGGCACAATGGGCGCAGCAGACCGTACGTAAATTGCATCTTCATTTGCATTCCTGGTCCAAAAATCATGCAAATCTTAATGAGACAGTCTCTATTGTGGTTGTAATTGAAGACCCATTCTTTGTTAATTACTGTTTCTCAAAGGCCTTGTCCGCAGTCACTGAGCTGAAACAAAAAAGTTATTGATTCCAGAGGCCGTGGGGTTTAAATGGACATCTAATGCAATGGTTTATAGTCCGTTTGAGAGGATATCCATATTTTCCCTGGCCAAAAGTAAAGTTTTCCCTTATGGATTAAATAGAGAACTGGCGGATCAGTTTCACATTTATAACACATTTATTTTATCTTTTATTGTATGCCAAGCAACAAATCCCTATAGCCAGCAACTGACCACCACAATGATTTATTAATCAGCCTACTGATAAGGCTAGTAAATACCACATATACCCCTCTCTATTCAAATTGGGGGGTTTAAATCAGCCAAAAGTCTTTATTTAAAAATGATAAACGCATAAACGGCCACGTCTAATATATTTATTTCAGCGGGAATATTATGTTTTTCATGCGCCTTGCAGCACTGCTCCACCACATTGTCCGTCCTGAGTTTAATTTCTCTGACAAAAAGCCTTATTCAGTCAGATACGCCAAGCTTGAATAGCAAACTGCGTTTCCTTTCAATGGTGGAAGTAGAATGAATTTTAATTAGCCTAAAGCCCTGCGCAAATATCGTTGTTCATTATATACTGTTTAGTATATCTATCCCCTTATCATATTGTGCCGATATGCGATAGCCGGCCTTTCTGCAATTTCGATATTGTTTATTTACTGCTCATTAACCAGATTCAGATAATGACTGAAATATAGATTATACAACATGATGGGTTGCAAATGTATTAGTGTAGGCTATAGTGTTTTATCCTGAATTCAACATCTGGGAAATATGCTTTTACCCAATACATTTGATTAAAAAATGGTTTTGTATACATTGGACTATTTTTTTTAAAATACTTGAAGGGTTGCCCAAGCCAGTTTTGTCAATGAATGGGCGCGCTTGGCCAATTGTTGCTGAGACAGACTTCTTTGGGTGCTGGTGCAGGTCATCGAACGAGGCTTTAGTTGGATATTTCATATAAAATATATGTGTGTGTCTTGGATGATAGCCTTTTATAAAAATGTCTTCAATATAGTATTTTTAATTTGCCACTCAATTGCTGCATCTATTGGTGAGATGCATGACAAGTTAATCAAATTAAAATGAAGGTCCTGTTCAGAAATAAACTAATATCAGATATGGCTACTATTGTTTGCATGCTCGTTGCACATTACTCTGCATACTTGAACATTCACAAATTTCTTCCAAACACTTTCAACAGTGTGATTCTGCAAGCCGTGACGCTGCAGGCTCTGGGGCCCTGAGGGGCATTGAGCTCGCTGAGGCGGAACACTGGCAGGCTTTGCTGGTGGTCCTCGCCCTCCGCTGTCCTTAATTAGGAAATTAGGTGCACATCATAGGTCCTCCTTACTGAGCCGCGAGTTTTCCTTTTCCCGCTGTCTGGTCGATTTCCATAAGAAGATTACAAGCGGATCAGTTTTTGAATCTCCCCAGATAAACAAATGACTGGTTTCTGAGAATTAGATGGGTTAACCCAAGCACAGAGGTTTAGCGACAAGTCCTGTGCTCTGTTGATGGCAGACCAATCAACATAGCTTTTCACTGAAATGCGCGGGGTGATGCCTCCTCTCAATTGATTAACGTCGAGGTAAATCAATATTTTGTTCTATGAGCTGGATAGCAAGTGTAGAACTGCGTTTCTATGGCTATTAATTTACATTAGGGTTAATACTTTGTCTTCAACTAAATTAAATGTACTCTTTCTCTGACGGACATGTTTTGAATGTGGATTCCATTCAATATCCCCTATAGACACATTTTCAATGTTCAACATCGTCAGATGTATTACATCAGATTGTTATTATGTGGTAGGCCTATATGGACAATGGATACATCATTTCACGTCAGGCCTGTGTATTTTCAAGCCTTGATATTTATTTTGTTGTAAAATGTTGTTCTGTTATTCTGTTGAAAAAAGGTTACAATATTTAATGTTTTGATATCGAATCATCTAACATTTCGATTTTGAAATCCAATTCAAATGCAAAAATATGCCTACACATAACTCCAATATGTTAGATGAAAATTTAGATTTTTAACTTCTTTAGATGAAATAGTGAAGTTATTAGTGTGGAGAATTTATTTTCGTGAATATTTTAAACCCTAGATTGCTCACAGATCTGTGGTGCTCAATATTGAGTGGCGGAGGTGTTAATTGAGGACGTTTTCGACTGGCGAAGGCTTGTAGTCGTTAGCAGGTGTAAAGTTTGCCCGAGGGCTGCGAGAGAATGTCACTTCGAATTTAAACTGCTAAACAGGAGCGGCGTTTCGGGTCATTTGTAAAGCAAACACATGTAAATCAGTGACTCTCCGCGGTGATCATTTTAATAACCATTAGCACTACAGAGCGAAACCGTTTTACGCACAAGAGCTGTCGAATTTTACGACGAGGTAAATCGGAGTATAGATTTTCTCAGAGTACCATCAACTCTTCAAAACAAACTTTTCGAGAAGGTACTTTGTTCGAGCTGTAAGCAGTCCTCTCTCCACAAGAGGTCGTTGATGTATCAAGGTTTTGTCTTTCGCCGTTGTGCCAGTCCCAATGTTGGTTGTTTTTAGAATAGGCTACTGAGATAAACCAAAACGAGTTGAGATATAGCAAGTGAAGTCGCACTTGCAAATATGAACGGACACGGTAAACTGACATTTTAATCCAGTCTATTGTGCCAATTACGCACACTTACTGTGTAGTTTATTCCAAGTAACCCACATGTACATTTCCAAAATGTTCATGTTGATGCTTTTTTGATTAATCAGAATTTGTCAATAAAATGTCAATTTAATAAATAAACTCTAATTCAATCCATGACAAATCCCCATTTTGAAAATGATAATCAGACTAATTTTCAATAGGCCTGTTTTAACAGATTGGCGTCTGAAATTGGCTGCAATTGAAATTGATATTGACACAAACCCTTCCGTTTGAGTGAACACGCTAACCTCAAATTCTATAGATGCCAGTCCAACACAATAGTATTATCTTGATATTTAAGGAAGTGAGAGAATTCATGAATGAAGGGAGAGAATAATACCACTTTTCTGCCTCGATATTTGCCTTGCACTCATTTAGGCCTTTTGGAACCCCGCCTCCATGTCACCACTTGAATGGGATTATTTGATTTCCACCTTTTTCTTTACCAAGACCGTTTACGAATTAAGAAATTACGCCTGGCGCACATGCTCTATATATGGACATGGTTTTTCAGAATTAATTTATAATTACGTTTTTACGCAAGTTTTACGTGTAAAAGTGTATAGCACTTACAAGTCTATAGCACTTACAAACTCTAACCTATATATTTAACTATTAGGCTAATATATTTGATGATCCACTTGAATTGTCGACGTGATCCGTTCCATCAAATGTATTCGTTTTATTTTAAAACGCTACAGGCTATGATTCTGTTTGTTTCAGTCCGGTTTCATACATATTCTAAAAAGTTTCATGCATGTAACCTACATTTTAACATCTCAATATACAGATATACATTTAGAGTATGTTTGAATTACTTAGATGAACAATAATGTAACTGCCTTATAACGTGTTCTTTTTGTTTAAAGTTGAATCTCTTTCCTTCTACAACGTCAACCCAAAACAGAGCGCTGTGATTGGTCGAGAGCCACTCATTGTTACGCTGTCAATCCAAATCACATGGCCCGGGCACTAATAACAGTTGAGGTTGGGGGACAAGTTTGCAGAGTTCTGTTTTAGAGCGGTGGTGAACAGAGCTTGCTGACGAGCACTGAGAAATTGGAAGCACCTGGCAAAATAACATCACCTAAGCTTCTTTTGACAACTTTTTCCTCACATGAGACTGGTGGTCAGTACTATTTCTACCCCTCTTTAAGTCTTTGAGGGTATTTTGTTATACCTTTTCCGCGCCTGAGACTGAACATTTCAAAGCCGTTTAAATGTATAACATGATGGAAACCGAGATCAAGAGCCCGCTCCCGCAATCCAATTCGGGCTCAGCTGCGGGCAACAAGAACAACAGTGCCAACGACCAGGACCGGGTGAAGCGGCCTATGAACGCTTTCATGGTGTGGTCCCGTGGACAGCGGAGAAAGATGGCACAAGAGAACCCTAAAATGCACAACTCTGAGATCAGCAAGCGGCTCGGTGCAGACTGGAAACTTTTGACCGACGCGGAGAAGAGACCCTTCATCGACGAGGCCAAGCGTCTGCGCGCCATGCACATGAAGGAGCATCCGGATTACAAATACCGTCCCCGAAGGAAGACCAAGACCCTGCTCAAGAAAGACAAGTATTCTTTACCTGGAGGACTTCTGGCGCCAGGTGCCAACGCTGTCAACAACGGCGTCTCGGTGGGACAGCGGATGGACAGTTATGCTCACATGAATGGCTGGACAAACAGTGCATACTCTCTCATGCAGGACCAGTTGGCCTACCCTCCGCATCACAGCATGAACAGCCCCCAGATCCAGCAGATGCACCGGTATGAGATGGCAGGGCTCCAGTACCCCATGATGTCCTCGGCGCAGACCTACATGAACGCAGCGTCCACGTACAGCATGTCCCCAGCATACACGCAGCAGACCTCCAATGCCATGGGCTTGGGCTCCATGGCCTCCGTGTGCAAGTCCGAGCCGAGCTCCCCTCCACCGGCGATTACCTCCCACTCCCAGAGAGCGTGTTTGGGGGATCTGAGGGATATGATCAGCATGTACCTGCCTCCCGGTGGAGACGGCGCGGATCACTCTTCCCTGCAGACCAGTCGGTTACACAGTGTTCATCCGCACTATCAGACCGCGGGGACTGGCGTGAACGGAACGCTACCCCTAACTCACATTTGAAAAAATGACTAAACTTAAGTACTTCGGATACTTGAACATTTTGATTGCTAAAAGAGTCGACGTTCAGTAGTTTTGTTTAAAACAATGAAAGTGTATTTTTTATCTCAATGAGTTGTCCATGTTAAAAGCATTTTTAAAACTACATACCCTGGACTGAAGTTGAATGTTGAGCCCACCAGAGTAAATTGCATTGCAAAGAGTCTTTTATCATGAGTATAAGCAATCCAATTTTGTAGAAGAAATGGACTTCTATATTTTAATGCCATCATTTTTTCTCTATGAAAAAGGCACGTGGCCTCATGAAGAGGCCATTGTATTTCAGAAAAGCTGGATGGAGAGTTGGTTCATAAATGTTTACACTTCATTTGTAGAATGTCAGTTTGTGTCGGCTGTGTCCAAATCTGTAGTATTTTTCTTCATGACCTAGGTTTTAATGAAATACAAGACTGCGGGTCGAAAGCGCAAGTTTATTTATAGCAAGTTTATACGTCATGTTATAATGTTCCATTTTTTGTTTTGTGACAATTTTCCTTTCTGTGATGTTTTGACGGTGTCAGGTTAACCCGTATCATGGGCCAAGATGTTTTATTTAAAACTGACGTTTCTACTTATTTTAAGACCATCCTCTATTCTTAAATGATGAATAAATTTGTACGAAACAAGATTACTGACTCCTATGTTTTTGGGTGATTGTGTGGGGTATGAGCCACCTGTGTTGTACTTGTCTATATGGGATATGACGTGAGTTTGATGGGTGAAATCTGTCAGGTATCATTGGAGATGCCTCCTCACAGAATGAAATGAGCGTAACATTGAAAAGCAAAGTGATTATTTTAGAGGATGGGTGTAACGAAGTGTGACTAATAAACCCAAACATGCTGGATGAACACTGTCTTGTATAACTAAAGTTTTCCTCAAATAGGCCTACTGTAAACAACATGTAAATTAATCTAGATGTAAAGTAGCGTGTAGCCCAATATTTTGGATAATTCTGTTTAAATGTAATGACTAGCCTAATATCTTCCAATTATCGAAATATAGGCCTATTTAAATTTTAACTTTGGTTGCAGAGTACATTATTTTTTCTCCCATGAATATGTAGGCCTATTACTAAATAAGGGGTATCAATGATTAGCCTACTCACTTGTACAATTTTGCTGGGACATAGGAAAACATGGCGGCACCTTTTTAATATCTCAATGTAAAAGATAATGGGCCTATAAAAAGTGTATGCCTAACCATTTCAAGTTATTGCTGACATTTTTCCACATTTATCAGAGAAGGGAAATTGTTTCATTTACTCTGTCCTGAATGTAACTTGTTATTGATTTGCTTCTAGGCCTATTGGGCCGCTTTAATCAATAGCCTAACTTTAGTTTCTTACCAAACCATGCAGTATAGCGCAGGCTACTCAATATAGTTTTCATTTCGAAATGGAATGTTTGTTGATAAGCTATATTTACTGTGGTCTGTCGTTGATTCTATGGAATGTGTCTCTGAATGGTTCTGTCAGATAAGTTAAGGTGACAGCCGCCCAGCAGGTGAACTATAAAAGTTGTGTAGACTTTTTTAAATAATGTAATTGTTTATCCCGCTCCTTTTTACATCTTGGAATTCAGCAAAGTCATTCTGAAGTCTTTCCAATATTGACTTTGAATGAATGTATATCAACATTTTACATTCATACATATTATAGTGGAGAGTGGGGTAAGTTGAGCCATTTTTTAGATTCAGCATTACTCTGTCAAGGCAGAGATATCTACATATATTTAATGTTATATGTATATGTTGTGTATTCCTGTAAATAATCAGAATTCATGTAAACATTACAGTTTTAAAAACTGGTCTCTTGGCACAATTTACCCCGGGTCTGGGGTATGTTAAGCCGCCTTAGAATTTCTGTACTAAATGAAATATTACCACTACCTTTGTAAAACCATGTCAATCTTTATTTCCCAAACACAATCCAACACAATCATAATATCTGTTTTTGTCTTTTAAGAAGTTTAAGCATCTTTTAACACAGGCTTAACACCTAACAAACAGTTTTTACTTTTTAAAACACTTTTAACATAGGCCCTGTTGTTACCGCATATCCCAACGATAATTTCTTGCATTACGTCTGGGAAGAAAACTAAATTTGCCATTGGCTCAACTTACCCCATGGCCATTTGCTCAATTTACCCCAAGGCAAACATTTTGATTAGCACACACAGCTACAAGGATGCACTTTCATGCCTGGTTTAGGACCTCATATTAAAGCTTATAGAGACCCCAGCTGATGTATAGAAACATCTTTAAAGTATCTCCTTTGGTTCATATACAAGCATAATGAAACCTCTAACACTAAATTCATTTGACTTGGTGAAAATCACGTTTGTTGGACCTAACTTGCTTACAGCTTTTTCCATGTGGTTTCTTCCTTCAGACTCCATAAAATGATGACTTCTCCCTAAATATTTGGTCATATGATTAACTTTGTGTATAGTTTCCTAGAAACAACGGTGGCTCAATTTACCCCTTATGCTCCACTTACCCCACTCTCCCCTACAATCATATCAGATGCCAATGTGGATATAGGCCTATACCTGTAAATCCAGTCCTTTAATGCACACGGTTTATCGCCAACATGTTCAATTGGTTGGATAATGAGTGTGAATAGGCATATATTAGTCAATACATTGTGAATTAATTAATTAACAAACAAGAGGTACAATTTATTTAGGAATTCATACTTCTACACATTTTATTGACAAAATATAAGCTTCATTAAGCTTTTTGAAATCATTCATTTCCAGACACAATTATCTTTATAATGTTTTTTTGGGGTCAGAATATTCAAAAGCAGAAAAGTATTAGATTAAATTAAAGAATAAAAATATTATATACTTGAATCAGTCATATCCTTGTTTTGAATGTGACTTGACAAACTGAATAAAACACTTGGATATGAAACCAACTCATACACATACACAGAAAAGGTTTCCTTCAGGTTTCTGCTTAGTTTTTGCTGCTATTAGGAGGTAAGAGATAGAAAGAAGGGATTGAGTCCATTTGGATGAAATTCCTTACTCCCTATAACACACACACACACACACACACACACACACACACACACACACACACACACACACACACACACACACACACACACACACACTACAATCTATTATACAAAACCATTCCAGTCAGTTCAATTATGAGTTTGTTTGAGACCCTGCTTCTTGGCATCCCAGCACACTCCCTCTGTCCAACACCCTTACAGCAGAGCTATGGAGCAAGCAGGCAGGCCTATACTGGTGCAAAGCACCCTGCGATAGGCCACCCCAGCCACCAAGAGGGCCTGAGCATTGGCTGTCCCGCTGGCCTTCCCACACTCCCTGTAGGATTTGATCCACAGCTCAGCACAGCGGCTTGGATTAGCACCACGCACCTTTGTGGAGCAAAAGATTATCCAGACCTCCCTGCATTCACTGAAAGGGTCTTGAATCACTCTAGCGCGCAAGCGGCCGCCCGTCAGCTAATCACCCTGTCCAAGTAATTTTTTTGCAATTAAGCAGCTTTTCCCTCCCCGGTCGGCCATGTCAGAGGTGTTTGCACTGCGCCGGAGTCAGAGAGAATGGTGGTTCTGTGCCATCTGTCAAAATGTGCTAGATCAGTCAGTTGGTATGTGATCACCGAGCGGAGCGGCCTCCAGCCCTCATATTTTGTTTGATAACCGGGGAGGGTTCAGTTCTGTGGTACTTTTCCATTAGGATAGCAAGGCCCTACAGGAAATATGATGCAAGAGTTATTAATGTTTTACTGCTGCATTTGGGTGTAATGCTTTGTTTTCCCATATAGGTGTAACTTTCTAGATCACACTTTCTATGATCTGTATTGCTTCTCCTGATGACACTTATAACATGGCTAATCCTGATTTAGTTCTGAAATGAGTTATTGGAAAACCGTATACAGTACATGTAGCTAAGTAGCCAAACCCTGATCTATTGATTGGTGTGAATGTTCTGGTAGTGAGAACATCGGTGGTGTGCTGTTGGCCACCGTCAGCCCCCTCTCACTGAGCGCCCACAGGGCCTCTCTCAGGGCCTGTCATGTCGAGCACTGTGCACACTCAGCAAGTGCGGGCATATCCCCACTTCCATCTGCTTATGACCTCACTGGGCCTGTTTGTTTAACCCCCCTCTCCAAAAACGAACCTAATTACACCCCTGTAGAACACGGATTCAGCGGATTCCCAGAGAATTCTATATGCTGCTGTGTGGTGCTTGTGCTGGTTTGTGTGAATGCGTGTCTAACTGTGTGTGTGTGTTGTCATGCTTGATATCAGTCTCTTTCTGGCAGTTTTTTATTCTCTTCCACTTACGTACATGTATTACATTCTTGTATTACAGAGCTTCAGTGTCATATTTGAATTGCTATCAGTTTTTCCTGGTGTCTTTTCATTCAGTTATGACAAGTCATGACACACTTACATGGGTGTCCTAGTATGTGAACTAGGTGGTGTGAGGGAACACGAGTGGTTGTTTTAGAGGGTTCCGTCTACATCAACGTCATAAAAGGAAAAGTAATTCTTAAAGTCTGTGACAGACCGACTGACTGACGTTGGTGACATCACACGCCTACTATGTGGCCGGAACCTGCTCAGCAAGTCTATATCAGGACACACCTCTTTACAAAAATAAACACACTTTTACATACCTAGAAAAATCAAGCTCTTACTCTTCAAACAGTCATTGTGTGCGTCATCCAACATGGACAATGGGTTAAAACCGATTTGTGCCACATACTGTAGGTGACAGTTGCAGTGAGACAGAAACTCAGATGAGATGTTAAACTTAGTCTGTCAGGCTGCATTCCAGTCCAGAAGCAGGCTTTGGCTGTATTGGTATTGATCTGCTGTGGCTGGGATCTCCAGGAGGCCCTTCCCTCTGAGCTCAGCTGGCCTGGCCTGGAGCGCCCTGTATGTCCAGCTTGGGGCAGGCCTGTCCGGAGTGGTG